ACCCCTCTTACCCATCCACCCAAAGAGGCAGCAGCCGGTGCTGCTCAGAAGGGGCTGATTTCGGGGTGCACGTCCTCGCTTCAGCTTTTAAATGTCTCTCATCATTTAAATGAGAGTTTTCACCCCAAAAAGCTCAAAGAAAAACAGCCCCAAACCAAACAAATTCTGGGACCTCTTTAAAACGCTTTTTTTTTTTCTTTCAAAAAGAAGCGCGCATCCTCCAGGTTTAAGGCTCCCCCCTGTTTTCTCCTGCTCAGTTTTTGGGCAAGGGAAAGGAACCAGCATCCCCTGGGCGCTTCCTGACACATCTGCTTTGGGCTCCCACTTCTCCCCATCCAAACTGTCCGGTAAAACACCACTAAAAGAGGAAAAAGAAGAAACCAAAGCACCTCCCCCCCGGCACCGACAGAGGCAGCTCCCGTCCATCCCTAAACCCTGCAGGTCTGGGAGGCAGCGGAAAGGCAGGAGCTGGAGCCCCTGACCCCGGCAGGGAACAGGGGATGGAGACGTTTCCTCCTGCTCCAGCCTGGAGCTGCAAAGCCTCTGGGCCACCCTGAGCAGCCTGAACCCCCCCCAACCCCTCCTGGCAGCTCTGGAAAGCATTAACAGCGCTGGGGGATGGGAATGGGGCAGAAAACGCCTTTTTTCAGGGTTTTTTTTTGTGCTGAAAGGTCTCAATTTTCAAAGCAAGAGCTGGAACCCCCACCTCCCTTCACCACAGCTCTGTTTGCTTGGGGGGTTTAACCCAAAAGGCAAAGGCAGAAGCGAATTGAACCAGAGCAGCAGCTTCAGCCCTGGCAATCGCCACCAAACTTCTCCAGGGAATTCCAGGTCTTTCTTTGCTTCTGGGATTCAAAGGCATCAAGCTCTTTAACAAAGAGCATCCACATGGGATGGGCTCCATCTCCTACAGGTTCCAAACTTGAAGCGCTCCAGTGGAGAAGTTAAATCACAATTTCTTGGGCAGATTTGCCACGTGGAAAGGGGGAAATAAAAGCATTTCAGGCTCTAAATTGGTAAATACATTTTGCATCGATTTTAACCTTTCTGGCAATAAAAGTCGCTCAGTTTTAGAGCTCACGGATGAAATTTCCTGATAAATTAGTAAGGATTAATTTCACAACGAATTCTTTCTAGTTTTCCCTAGCTGGAAAGCATCAGGATGCATTCATTTCCATGGCAGGGGGGTTGGAACTGGATGATCTGCAGGTCCTTTCCAACCCAAACCATGCTGATTCCCAAATGCCCACCACTCTCAGAGGAGTACAATCGACAGCAAAGAGCTCTCAGCTCAAAGCTGGGGGTTCAGAGCTAAAGCAAAGAACTCGAGTTTCTTCCCCTTTTTGGTAACCAAAAAAGCAGCAAAACACCGAACCCCCTTAAACTCCACATCCTCAGACAGGAGCATTCATCCTGCCCATCCCCTTGCAAGCCCTGCTTGCAGCAGGGGTGTTGCTTTCCTTTTACTGATACTCTTAACTTGTAAACCAGACTTGGGTTAAGGGGAAGAGAATGAATTTAAGGCTGGATTCAAAGCACATTTTAGCTCCTCATTCAAGACAAGCGTCTTGATTTCAGCATGGGGAAGAGCTCCCGAGCTGGTTTCCAGTTGGGTTTTGAGCTCATCCCCCCAGCACGGGGCAGGAAGGCACATTTTGGGATTAATGCTGCCAAACAAAGGAATCCCCCTCGCTGTTATCGAGCCACTGCTCAGGATTTCGTTAGGAACAATTAATTGCCCCATTTTGCACAGGCAAAGGGAGCCTTTCTCCGGTGGGAAAACGTTCATTTGAGACAAGGAGTAAAGGGGGGGGGGGGGGGCACTTTTCAGCGTTCCCCATCCATTTCCATGCACAACACCAAATCCTCCCCTCACTAAGGGCATTTAACAGCTCCCACCTCTGCTCGGGAGCACACGGAGCCTCCAAACCTCTGAGCTGCTCGTGAAGGAGCTCTGCTCAAAGCACCCCTTCGGGTTGAAGTCTATGGGCTGTTATCAACCCCAGTCCCTCTTCCCCCCCACCCCTCCTCAATTACTCGGTTTCATTCTCTCTGGCCGACTCACTTCCACATTCCTCATATTTGGAATGTCTGCTTGATGGATTCACTTTTTTCCCCCCTCGCCCCTCCTCCTCTCTTCATTCATTCATTCTTTTCGACCCCAACGACTTTGGGCTTTTCAGCTTCCCAGTTCCAAACCCCCCCCAATTAATATTTCACCTTAAAGAGGAAAACTGAACTATTTTTCCTTAAGGATTTTTTTTTTCCCTTTTTAACCTTTGGAAGAATAAAACACAAAATAATTTGAAAGAGTCTGGGAAAAACTGGGAAAAATCCCCTTTAGTTTCCCCAAGTTTTTCCATCAGCAAACTTCAAGGCAAAAAAACCCAACAGCAACTCCCCAACAGCCATGAAATGCTTCGAACAAATCCCAACCAACTCGAAGCCTCGTTTTGCTCCACGAAACAACAGCTTTATCCCCACCGAGTTTCCTTTCCAGCCCGATACTTCCCAAGTCTTTCGTTAAAATGGTTCCCATGCTCATGAACATCGGTCCCAGCTTTAGGTGTTATTTGAGGAATCACTGCACTGAACCAACTCCAAACCAGTTCATCCTCCTCGGCCACCCCACGGCAGCAGCTACACCCCCCCATCACTCCTGCTGCTGCCATATTAGCACAGCCTTTCTCATTCATTGCTCTGATGGGTTTCGGGGAGGGGAGATGTGAGAAGGAAGCACCAGCAGGAAAGGTTCCTTCCCAACGTGCGATTCCAACCGGACACATTCATTTCTCACCCCCCCCATCCCCAAAATCACTTTTCCAAGCGTTCCCATTGCTCCCTGCAGCCAACAGAAAACACAACCAAAAAGCCAACTTCTATTGCATTATTACCGTCATTATTTTAGGGATTAGCTGGAAACCCAGTGCCCATCATTTGTTTTCCTATTTCTAAAGGGGAGGGAAATCAGCATCAGGTCGGGGTGGGGGGAGGTTGCTTGGTTTTGATCCCACCAAGCCCATCTGATTCCCTCCCCCCTGCTCTCACTCAATTAACCGTTTCCTGTTCTAGGGCCTTTTAAACTGGAAAATCCAGTCTGGAAAACAAGCAGGGAGGGACGGAGGGAGAAGGAGAAACCAAATCGGTCGCTTTCGAGGCAGTTCCCCAGCCCCATTCAACCCGGGACTGAGCCCAAGGCACCGGATGACTCCCCCCCAACCGGGGGGCTCCAACCTGCCCCGTTCACGAGGAGTTGCCAAAAAGTTGCCTTCTCCCGACCCAGGCACAGGAACTGCGTCCCCAAAGCAAGACAAAGTAACCGCGCTGCCGGGAAGGGGCTGGGAACCCCCCCAAGCCCCATTCCCACCTCCCCCAGCCCCTGTGCGACACGCAACAGAGGCTCCTGTCCCTTTAAAAGCAGCACCCGGGGGGGGGGGGTGCAGCTCGTTTTAACCCCCCCAAAACCGGGTTTAGCAGCTAAACACGAGGCACAGCACAGATTTCATTCAGGAGAGCCCGGAGAAACACGAACCCTTCCTTCCACCTATTGTAAAGTTCACACCCCCCAAAGCATTTCTTTGCATTACATCGAAGGAATATTCCCATTTTTAGTGCATTTCTCTTGGGGGGGCAAAATCTGGTGTCGTCCCCCCCCGACCTATTGATTATCCAGCAGCACCGAGGCAACAGAAGAGGGTGGATTTTTAGGTGCTTTTCCAATCGCACCCCTCCGCTCGCCCCTATTTAAGCCACATCAAATCAGGGGGCACCATCGATCGCCCCACCACGAGCTGCTAGGGAATAAATACCAGGAACATTCTGGCTAGGGAACGACCGACTGGATTTAGGGGTTGCCTTCGGGACCGGAGGAGCCCGCTCTGCCCTTGGCCGTGCAACGTCGGGCAGCAAACGGAAGGGAGGCCAAGGGGGGACCCCAAAAACGGGCTCCCACCGCCCAGCCGAGGAGGGGGGGTCACCAAGGGATGAAGGAACCGGGAAGAGTTTGGGAAGGAAGAGTTGGCTTCGCCTCCTCCCTCCGCGCCCGTTGAAGTAACCGCCTCGTCACGTGGCCGACGCGGGTTTCGGGCTGCGCGATCCAACGTGGACTATTTGGGGTTGGGAACTAAGTGGCCCTTAGCCCAGGCGGCCCCTCCTGGAGCTGGGAATGGGGGGGGATGCTCTGCACAAGAACCCACCCATTGAAACCACTCTTCCTAGCCCATAACCGAGCCCCGGCGGGGTTGGGAAGCGCGGTGCCGGGGCTGCTCCGGCGTCCGGCGCGCAACAACAAAGAGCCAAGAAGATGGAGAGGGCCGGGCTGGGCAAGGCCGGCGGCAGCGGGCGAAGCCGCTTTGGCAAAGAGATGGAGAGCGCCAGGAAGCGTGGCTCTTGCCCCCAAATCCAAGCTGATGGTTGGTAGGAGCTAGGCCAGCGCCTGGGGTTTAAATCCCTGCTCAGCACGGCAAGACCAGCGCCATGGCTTGTTGTTTTTAAGTCCTCAGCGCCAAATCGCAGCAAATTCCACTTAAAAATTAAAGAGCTATGAATGGGGTTTATTATGATTCGGATTTAATTTTGCCCTTCTCTTGGAAAACAAAAGGTTTCGCCCATTTCGCTGCACAGGAGCCGAGCGAGGCTGGGAAATTCTTCCAGTGCCACAAGTTTGAAAACCCCAACCCAAACCCCAGCCATGCATCACCTTGGCCGAGCAGCTGCGGGATCATGGCTCAACCTTCTCTTTCTTTGCCTTCCCCCCCCCCCCCCCTTTTCAAACTTGCTCAAAGAGGAAGTTCCATTAAATGAAAGAAGAGAGAAAATTCAACATTGAGCCTCAAAACCGCCTCGCACCACGCTAAGGCCAAGGCACCAACAGCTCTTCTTCTACACGCACATTTTTAGGTATAACCCCTTTTGCATCCTTTATCTTCCATTAAATGTTCCCCTCCCCAACGATGAAAACAAATCAAATCCCACAAAAAGCCATTAAAACACGGTATTACCTTTGCTTTTTAGGGACCGAATGTTCAATCTCGAGCTGTTTTCCATGGAGCTCCACTTTCCCTAAAAACAAAACGGGGCTGGCTTTTAAAACGGGGCTGGAGGGGTCAGAAGGCGTTGGAGAAGACCCGAAACCTCCCCATCGCATCCCCATTACAACGAACTCCGCACAAACACATCCCCAATTCCTTTACAAGTGCATTTTATTCAATGGAAGACTGGCTTCAAATGGGGAAGCGGTGGGAGGGAGTGGTGAGTTCGCTGCCTGGACAATGTTCCTTAGGAATATTTAATTCCCGAGTTCACCCTGCTTTGGAGCGCGAGAAAAACGAGGAATAACATTTGGAAGAGCAATTCCTCGCCGGGATGGAATTCCGCCTCGTCCCACCCCTCCAAGAAGTCCTTCAGGCAGGAAGGACCCCATGAAAAGGCTCAAAAATCGGAACTCCATGGCAGGAATGGATTTCTCTCTGGAAAATGGAGTGGGATTCTCTGCTGCGGGGTTATTTATAAGGATTTTTTCATTTTTTTGGGAAGGGGGGAGAGGAAGGGAAGGGGCCGGGAGGGGGGAGGGGAGCCGGGGGGGCTCCGAAAAAATGTTAAAATTCCAAAGATTTGGAGCCTCCCCGTTTTCCCGGGAGCTTTCTCCCTCCCCGCCAGCAGCATGGCGACCTTCGCGCTCCTCCGCACATCACATGCCCCAGGAAACCCAGTTTCAAATCAAAATGGCCAAAGTCCCAACCCCTCCATCCGCACCGCGACGGGACCCCCGCGCCCAGCCCGGCCCTGGGGGGGCGGCGAAAAGGGTGGGGGGGATACAGGGAGTATGGGGGGGATGAAACCCCGCTTTCCCCCTCCTCAATCCCCTCCCCGCCGGGGCTCTGTTGGGGCAGCGCTGGGGCCCTATAGGGGGGGTCTGGGGGTGAACCCCGGAGATGGGTGAGAGGGGCACGGCTCTATGGGGAGAGGAGGAGGCGGAGGGAGGAAGGGCGAGAGGACGCCGCTTACCCGAGAAAGTTTCGATGGCTTTCATGGCCCACTGCTCGTCGGGGCAGTCCACAAAGGCGTAGCCGGACTTGACGAGGAAGGGGCCGCTGAAGGAGATCTTGTGCTCGGTGAAGACTTTCTCCAAGTCGGCCGGGGTCACGCTCTCGTTGAGGTTCCCGATGTAAAGCTTGTTCATGGTGGCGGCGGCGGAGGCGGCGGCGGGGCTCGGAGCGGGCGGGGGGGGCTGCACCGTGCAGCCGCGCCGTCGAGCTCCGGCCGCGGGGTTGTTTCTCCCCCCCCCACCCCCCTTTCCCCGCTTTTCCTTTTTCCTTGCTTTTATCCTTCCTTTTCCTGATGGATTTTGTTTTCCTCCGAGGAAAGGGGGCGGCTGCCGGCGGAGGAAGGAAGGGAAAGGGAAGGGAAAAGGGGACGGGAGGGGGGGGTGGGGGGTGTCCTTGGGGAGGGGGCGGCGGCGGCGGGGGCCCCCCCGGTCGGCGGCGCGGTCCCGGGTGTTACCGGACGCGTCTCGCAGCCGGGCACCGCCTCTAAATAAAACCGACCTGGAAAAAGGAGTGAAAATGTTTGCGGGAGGAAGCCACGTGGTGATGCGGGAGGGTCCGGCCCCCGGGGGGGAGGGGCCGGGGGGGGGGCTCCGCTTATTTATTGATTACAATTTAAATACCTCGTTATTCACCTTCCCCCCCCTCCACGCAAATCCCACCCCCCCCTTCTCCTTTCTCCTCCCGAAGCCCGTCCCGTCGGAGGCACTTTCCCATCTGCTGCAGCCCCCCGCCCCCACCGCGCCCCTCCCCCCACCGCGCCCTTCCCCCACCCCCCTTTTCCCCCGGTGCCTCAATGGGATTTTTCTGGGTGTAAAAAACTTCGGCATCAAAGGGGCCGGGAGGTCCCTGGCGCCGGGGATGGGGGTGGGGAGCGGCCCGGCCCCCCCCCCTCGGGGCTGGCCCTGCCCAGAGGGGGGCTGGGAGGGGGGACCCCCCCATGGTGGGGGCTGCGTTGTCCCCGGCATTGTTTTAAGCGCTTCGTGCGCAGCCCCGCGGAAGCCTTCGGGGGAAGGGAGCCCGGGGGGGCTCCTCCCGCACAAAAGGGCCCCATGGGGGGGGGGGGGCATTTCCCCAACGGGACCCGTCGGTAAAGCGGAGCCCACCCCCCGCTCCCTCCCCTCCTGCCTTTTCTGGAGACTTTTATTTTTAGGCTCAAGATGGGTTGAAAATAGCAGCGAGCTCCCCCCCCCAGCACCCACCCCCCCTCCGCATCCTGCCTCCCCGACGGGGCGGTCGGGGGCTCGGCCCTCGATGCTGCAGCCGGGTTCCCCCTAATCCCCCCCCCCCAGCGTCTGCCGCGCTGCAAGTAGAGGCACGGTCCGGCCCCTCCGCGCCTGCAATTAAATGCAAGGCGCCCGCGGAAAACTCGCGGCCGGTTCCGCCGGCTCCGCGCTGCGCCCCCTCCCCCCCAAACCCCACCCCCCCGGAAACGGCTACAATAAAATAAAATAAAAATTCAAAATAAAGAAAATCTTCACAAATAATCACAAAAATCCCATCGAGGGATTCCCCTCCCATCGAGGGAACGGCGCCCGCGCCTCGCTTATCCCCAGCAGCCGCCTTTCGGGGTGAACCCCCCCCGTCCCCAGCCGAGCTGCGCCTGGTCCCCCCCCCCCCAAATAACGCTTGTGTGCCGGTACCTAAGTACTTGGTGCTACCGGTATTACTGCTCTTGTTCGGCAGAGCCGCGCGGGGGGGGTTGTTGGGAAATAACTCCATGGGATCCCGCTCCCGAATCCCACCGGGTGTAAACCTTATGGAACAGATGCGCGTGCCCTTGGGAACACACTGAAACGAGGGCTCCAAACCCTGGGAAATGGGCATTAAGGACACCCGAGCTCTCTTCCCCTCCCGTGTCCCATCCATCCCGCTGTCCCGGGATCTTTGCCTCGGAGCCATGCGGGTGCTGCTGCTCTCTGAGGACGCTCGGGTCTCATCCACCCCATCCCGAGTTCCTCAGCACCGGCGCGAAGGAGGAGCCTCTGCGTGTTCCCGAGGCTCCCAGCGTGTCCCAGCCTAAGGATTCACAGGTGAAAAGGGGGGGGAAACAAGGAATTGGGGAAATAAACTTCCCGCTGCTCAGGACTTCTCCCCTCTCTCCCCCCACCCTTCCCAGCCTGGCTGCAGCTTCCAGCGTGTATCCGCCCCCCCCAGACTGAAATAAACCAGCGGGATCTGCTTCGGATCCATCGCCGAGCTCGCCCAGGGTACTTTTGTTGTTGCTTTGATTGGTTTCCTCAGGACCTTCCCCGTGTAACACAATCCCCTGCAATAATGAAGTGAAGGAAACCAATCTAAGGGGAAAAATGGGGGGGGGAATGCAAACAAAGAGGGAAGTCTTCAATTTACCCTGCTCCCAGGGAACCCCCTTCCCCTCGCTGCAGCCTTCCAGATGCGAGGTATTTGGAGAATGCAACAGCAGAGCCCAAAGCATTGATCTGCTGCAGCGGGGAGGCAGAGCCGCCTTCCACACACACACACACACCCCCATGCAGGCGCTGGGGGCTGCCCCTGCACCTCAACTGCACCCCCCCGCTCCCAAGCCAACCCCAGCCACCCCCGGACCCCAACAACTGCCCCCATTCAGTCCCAGCCAGGACAACCCAAGCTCTGCAACCCCCCCTAAGGGAAACAGCCCCTCCCGACCTCAACGTACCAGCAAGTGGGTGGGATTCGTGGAGCAGGGAAGGGCTGAGCAGGAGCTTGCACCCCAGCGCTGCCGCTCCTAAGCCCCTCCGTGGCCTTTTTCCTCTCCCAGGATTTCCTTCAATTGCGTTGGGAGTTTCCAAGAGCACTCCGAGGAGCTGAGTTCTTTTCGTTTCCAAGCGCTCCTGCCCCGCTCTCCCACCGATGCGAAGCTGCTTCTGCTTGAAGGCAGCAAATCTGACTGGGGCAAAGGTTTGGGGGGTTGTTGGTAAAGGCGGAAAGCTCTGAACCAGGCAGAAATGGTCCTAAGGAGTTCGTACAATTTCCCTACAAATTCCAATCGTTATTGCTGCCACTTAGGAGTTTGGGGAAGTTTCTGAAGGGAGAAGGTTGAAGCTGGGTGCTGAATAATGCAGCTGAGATTGCACTGCAATGGGGGTTTGATACGAAGGGGTTTAATTACTGCCGCCTGCGAAGTGCTGTGGCTCTGGGGCAGGACAGGGCTGAAACAGGACCAGTTTTTTAGGACAGATTAGGAGGAAAGAAGAGCAGATTCTGCTCTGCTCGTTCTGCCCCTTCTCATTTGAATCCTTCCTCAATTTGTTTGTTTGGGGGTAGCTTTGATTTTAAGCACTCTTTCATTTGGACAAGGTTAAAGCTGCACTCAGGAACTCTGAGAAAGCCTCGTTTGGGGACGTTTGGAAATCTCTGTGAATTCCCAGTTAATAAACCTGGAAGTTCTCAGGAAAATTCACAAGTCATCAAGAAAAAAAACCCCAAAGTTTTGTTTTCCTGGAATCTCTCAATCCAATCTCAACAAACAGAAACAATTGGACGATGGAGCAAGCCTGTCCTTAGAACAGAGGTGAGAATGCAACAGGATAAGAAGCGTGAGGGTTACAGTTGGGAAATATTTCCTTTTCCTTAAGTGGAATCCCAGTTTAAAGCACCTTTTGTTCAGTTTTTAGTCTGTGGAAAATATTCCAGGCTGGAAAAAGCCGCTCCTATCGCAGAAGATCCAATTGATTAAAGCTGCTGTTGAGGAACTTGTTGCAAATCAAACTTGCTGTGGAATGAGCAGTTTGCTTTAAAACCAAATCAAGCCTCGAGGCAGGGCAGTGGCAACCCCCTGCTCCTCTGTGCCTTCGCAGCATCATCCTGGTGGGTAAGGGATGTTCTGCTGGAGCTCAGGGGCAGAGGCACATCCCCAGCCCAGGAAGGGGCTGAGCGATGGGAAATGCCCCTCTGCTCCCTGGGAGGGGTGGGAGGTTCCGATGCAGCAGAGCTGAAGATGGAAATGGTTAAACCTGCAACTGGCTCCATGAGCTGCCTGCTCCCTCAGCATCTGAGTGCTCCGGTTCAAAACAAAGCAAACGGTGCAATAAACCCTGCCTTCAAAACGCGCTCCCATCTTGAGAAACCCTTTCGGTCTGGTACTAAAAAGCTGGGGTCTCTTTCAAACAACCCCAACCCGAAACCCACAACCAAGGAGCTTTTTGCTTCCCCTCTACATCTGCTGCTTTGCAGCCTCTGGGCTCCCTCCAGAGCTCCACGTGGGGCTGGGGGCACTCCCCAGGTCCTGCCTTCTCCTTTGGGCTTCGCCAACGCAGAGAGGAATGTTCAGATGGCACCCACACAAAGGTGCTTTGCATGGATGCATCTCCCCCCCCACATGATGGAAATGGTTCATTTGGGGGTTGCTTTCCTTTTGGGGAAGGGGTCAACTCTAAATCCGAGGTGAGGAAAATGCTTCCCAGGATGAGCCCTGAAATGTGGTTGCTCAGATAATCCCTTTCCTTTCCCGGTTTTCCCCCCCGAAATGAATGTGCCACCACTTCCTTAGAGCAGACCTTTCTAACCTGTCCGTTTAGTTTTAACTCATCAAAAAACCCAGTGGGAGCAGCTCGGGAGCAGCCATTTCTCCTACGGATGGTGGGAGAAAGCTCTGCTCTTGGTCCAACCACAAACTAAACCAGGCTGCTTGTTGGGAAAGCATCGTGGGGGATGAATCCTGCCATCGCTGAACTCCCCCTGACCTTGCTTCAAGTGGGAGCTGCTCTTTTGAACCCCCCTCCACACATCTGCAGCCCTCCGCAGGCACACGTGAGCCGTTTTCCTGGCGGTAACTGCCGGTACTTGTAGCACGGTTCCCCCAGTCCGAAATAAACGCATCTGTAGCAGAATTAATGCTCCACGAGCACAATTTCGGGGGCCCTATAACATTTAAACCCCCATGAAGAGCAGGGGGCTCTCCAGTCCTCAGTGCATCTCATCCCTGCAGCACGAGGTAACAAAAGGCTCAGCTGCTAACACCAGCCTTGCCTAATTCCCTGTACCCAAAACAAGCATACCCTGGGAGGTGGGCGAGTGCCCAGCACCGCTCTCTGCCGTGGGTCACCTGAAAACACAGAGGTCATTTCACAACGGCAACCTGGAGCCAAGCCCCAGCACCGGGCTGCCAGGAGGGCGATGTTAGGGGAGCAGCAAGGGCACGAGGTAGAGCTAATCCCACGTTACTGAGCCAGCCACTTGGGCAGGCGCCTTGCCGTGGGCTGGGCTCTCTGGTTTCCTGTCCTGCTGGTACCCCGCAGGATGGAGCAGGGCTGATTATTCCCTCTCCTTTCCCGCAGCTCCACCGCTCTCATCTCCCCAGTTGGTTGCTGCTGGCTCCATCGCTGCTCGACGCGGGGAATACAGGATGGGTTTCACATCAGGGCAGCTGCCACCAGGCAAAGGGCTAAGGGGTGGATGGAGGAGGTGTCATCAAAACAGGCAGGTTTGATGCTAGAGCGAGTCCAGGTCATCTCTGCAGCTTCCACAAGCGGTGATGCTGTCGCTGCACAGAGGGAAAAGTTGTGGTCGTGCAGCTCAGTGGTCCCAATAAATCTTCCCCACATGGATGCTGTGCTGGGCTCTGTGTTACAGCAGTTACTGTCCTGTAGGTCCCTGCTCCTGGGGGTTAAGAGGAGCATCTCAGGAACAAGCAGAGCAGGCAGCAAGGAGAAATCCACATTCCCCATGCTTTGTGGTTCCCATTTTTTCATTGCCATGGGGTTTTCTTTTGCGACCTAAAGAACTCGTGAGCAGGAAGCTCCAGGAGCCACCCCAATGAGCTGAACGAATTCATCAAGAACAAGCATCGGAGCCTTAAAAGGCCCTAGGGTTTGGTTGATGTTAGAAGGGAGTGTTGGCATTTAAGCACATACCTGGTATTTTGCCATTGTGAAAAGACCTGGTCCGTTCCCCCCAGCACTGGAGAGGGAAACAGGTCTGGACCCACAAGAGAGGATGAAGCAGTGCTTGGCGCTCTGAAGATGCTCTGTAAATCCACCCAGCCCATCACTGCTGTGCTCCAGAGCACTCCACGCTCCTCTGCAAGCACTGCTGGTGGTGCAGGGAGAGAAATGAAATCCCAAGGAAAGCTTTAAGGTTCTGTGCCTCCAGAATGAGCCCCAGATCAGGACCAGGCTTTGAATGATGTCCCAGTGCCCGTGATTTCAGGGAGAGGATGGGAGTGAAAAGCTTCCCAATCCCTCCTTCCTCTCTCCCTGGGCTTTGAGGAGCAGAGCAAATCCTAACACTGATGCATCATGGCCAGTTACAATGGGGAACCTCAGACCAGCCCGATGCCTGCACCCAAACCAGAGCAGAAAGTGCTGTATTCACCTGGGATATGCAACACCTGAACCCGTCTCTGGCAGAGCTGAGGTGCCCTGAGCTGTGCCACGCAAAGCAGCAACCAAAGAGCACTGCTCCAGTGGGAAAGGGAAACCCTTACTCACCCCAGTCACTGGGAAGAGGAGAGAGGTGAGAGCAGAGCCATTGGAGGCGAGAGGTTAGAGCAAGACACAAGAAATGGACTGGGCAGTTTGCAGCCTTCCAAAAGCTTTTGGGAATGGATCAGAGGGAGTTGAGCAGAGCGGAGGCTGGCTGGGAGCAGGGGCAGGAATGGGTGACCTCTTAAGGTCACTTCAAGCCCTATTTGCCGTGATTACAGGGACATTCAGTCCTCGAAAGGCTTGGTAATCAGAGTTGCCCTTGAGATGTTTCGGTGTCTCAGAGCAGAGCAGAAGCGTTTCAGCCACGCAGCTGTGACCTTCCCAACACATTCCCGAATTCCTGGAACTCCAACTCCCGAGTCAGGTCTGCTGCGAGGAGCAGAGCTTGCTCCAGCAGGGCAGGAGGAAGCAGGGCAGCCCCAGCTCCCCTCTTCAGCTTGGTTAATGGTGGCTGGGTGAAACCTAAGCTCCAGCCTCCCCTGTCGCAAGCAGGGACCCAGCTGAAGCTTGTGAAATGATTTGTGTTATCAGAGCAGAGCACAGATAACACCGTGAGGGTGGTGCTGCCATAGCTGGGATGGGCTGAGGCTGGAGGAGAGCAAGGTTTGCCTCATTACTTAGACCTCCCATTGCCCTGGAGGAAGCAGATGTGGGCATGGGGCCCTTCTCCAGGTCAGCATCTCTCCCATCGCTTCCCAGACCCATCTGGGGGGGGGGTGGTGTTTGAAGTCCTGGAGTGCTGCTGTTGTCCAAACCACACCGTGAGCAGATGCCCTGAAATAACCGTAACTGTGAACCCTGGGTCAGCATTTAATGTTGCTGGATATTTATTTCACTCTATTAACTTTATATCCTACAGAGGCACTTAATGAGAGGAAAACAAATAGGTTGCACTTCGGAGAAACAAGATATCTGAGTTGGCTGGGAGCAAAGCACCCAGAATACATATGATAAAGATGTGGGGATAAACTATTCCATTTTATTGATTAGCAACTGTGCTAGGAGTGTAAATTGGTTCCTATAATATAACTATTATAGTGCATCATTTATTACAGCAGGCACGACTTTCCTGCATGGGGGAAAAGCTTGTGGAGACCCTGGCATGCTCATGTGCTGCTAGCTAAGGGACTAAGCCACACGTTAAATAGTTCCTGTGAAAGTAGTAATTACTCCCTAATAGCCCCAAACTCTTAATCGACACTAATAATGTCCTTCTGAGCCTTTACCTTAATGCAATAGAGATGCAACACTGCTTGCTGGGTGTATAACCACAGGGCAGCAAGAGCTCACCGCTGCCCACGCCGGGCTGAGCTGGATGAGGCTCATTCTGTGCTCTGCAGGCTCCCGGTGCAGAACGCAGGTTGAAAGCAGCCCGTGTCTGACACCGGGTCCCTGCAGAACTAAGAAGGGCAGAAAAACCCCACCGCTTGTAGGAAGGAAGCGCCAAACGGAGCCTTGGCGTGGAGACGAGTACCTCATCCCGCTGGATTCCTGCACGTGTTCAGGACAAGATCCACCAGGGCACTGCGCCAGCACAGCGAAACCCTCTCCCACGCTGAAAGCACCGACACTCCACTCTTGCCGTGATTACTGCAGTTCCACGAAGGGCTGGTTCTGGCTCAGCCCTGGCATCCCGAAATCCTGCTCTGACCCACACAGATCCCCGGGGTAGCTGAGCCAGCACCAACCTGGGAGGATGCACACGCACACATCCCTCCTACAGCCAGGTGGGGGGTTCCTGCTCTGAGGAGCTCTGCTGAGCTCCACGGGAGGGAAGAATACCAGGCTGGTGGACCCGAGGGGAGGGCTGTGACTTGGATAACCTCCGGCAGAGTTCAGAGCGCTCCAGGGAGGGGAGCAAGGACGGACGGGAGCGAGCTCTGCCCTCGCAGTGGTGAGAGCAGAGCTCAGCTTGGGGGCTAGGCAGGCACCAACATCACCCTGCTCTGCTCCTTCAGGTTGGAGCTGGGGATGATGGGAATCCTAGAGCAGGTCCCTGACCAGGATTTCCGTGCTAAAATGTAATGGAACCAGTTCTCCCAGAGAGACCCAGGGGAAGCGGGGCAGGGCAGGCACCAGGGAGGTATCTTACCATGCACGTAGTCACAGCGGAGCTGATGGAAGTGGATTTACCCCTTGTACTTTGATGGCACAGTTAACATCTGCAGAACGCCTGCTTTCCTGGATCCAGCTGTGCAAGGGCAGGGTGAGGTGGTGGCCTCACTGACCCACGTCCCCAGCAGCTGCAGAGCCGCAGGGAAACACTCCATCACTCACTCAGGACAGGAGAAGCCCCAGTGGGTGCTCAGGTCCAGCTGCTGCCCTTCACCCCACACAGGCTGCTGCTGTGCCACCACCCTCCTGCCTCCTCCCTGTTTCCTACTGGTTTCCTGTCTGCCACTCTCCATCCCCAGTTTTCCCTTCTCAGAGCACATGTTCTGGGGGTCAGACGCTGTTTTCAGTGTCTGGGGATTGTACAAGGGGCTGCTCAGGATGCTCAGACTCGATGGTGACAAAAACAACCATGATGGGAGCTATCGAGTTTAGCAAAGTTATTCCTCCTGTACGGAAAAGGAGGAGCAGGCTGGGACTCTCCAAGATAGCACTTACACTAGCAAAGGAAAAAGTAGAAGTCAAGGAGGTTTTTACCATGGAAAGGGATGCTATATGGAACTGAGGTTTAGACGAATGCCACATGTATTACACCCAATCCATATTTGCTCTCAATTTCGTGATACAGTAATGTTTAATTGCCATTAATGTCAACATATTTTAAAAGGTTATTTTCCTGCTCTGTAGGTCAATAGACTTAATGAAGCAGCTCTAAATGGGTTTGAATTGCATAGATTAGGTGCTTGATTTCCTGTTTACCTCATGCAAGTGGGTTTGGTCCTGCACAGTGAACATACATAAGAGCTCTGAAGGGTCTCCTCAGCACCAGAACCAGCTGAGATCCTCTGGGCAGCTTCAGAGACGGAGCAAGGTAAGAAGCTCTGTGTCGGTCTCCCTTCTGAATGTGTTTTTCCTAAGGTAGCTGTGGGAGTGAACAGTGTTTGAGCGTGTCAGGCAGCAGCAGAGCAGGAGCAGCTCGTACCTTTGGTTCTGCAGCAATGGATGTGCTGGGTTGCAAAGGGAAATGATGTTATTTCAGAGGAACAGTCAGTCCTTGGCAAGCAGCAGGCTGGGATCTGCACCTAGACAGGGAAGTAAGGAGAAATTGCTTCTTAGTTGCTGTTTGGGACCTCCCAGCTAGGGATAACCAGGGATAATGCTTCTTCCAATGCAGACAGGATTGCACAGGGGGCACAAAGACCTTTGTGTTGTAAAGATCCCACCAGTTGCACCTCCCTTTGTGAAGAAGTCAAATTAGAGGATCAAAGCAGCATAAATATCACAGCAAACTCCATGCTCTAGATCAGTGCCACCCAGGCAAAGGGGGCCTTTATTAATCTCAAAATGGTTTGTCAATATTCTTTGCAAACGCATTCTGCTTTTCCTCCCTTTTGGGGTCAATTCTGCTCTCCCAGCATCACCAATAATCACCTTTCCACATTACAGTGTTCTTGCACAACTTCCCTATTTTCAGATGCATCTTTATACCCACAGTTCTACCACTAAGAGAAGAAACAAAAAGCAAATGGGAGGGGAAAACCTCAGTTATTGAATCATCACTTTTTTTCCCCCTTCTCATTTAAAATACTCCTCAGCTTTTTGTCTGATGGGATTTACTCCACTGTTAACACACTCTGCACTGATTTGTCTTTTATGGCTTTAAGAGCCTTTGCCAGTGTTCAGTCTTACACCTTTGCTTTTAAGAGGGCTCCTCAGAACTTGCTGTAGCTGAGAATGGAGCACAGCGAGCGCTCTTCTCTCTTAATGGGAAGGGCTGAAAACATCAGTAAAAGATGTCACAGTTTTCCAGAAGGAAAAGAATGCCCCAATTCCAAACGGCATCCAAACGTGCACGTCCTGTCTGTCCAAAACGAGAATTGGGCTGGTTTAAGAGTATAAATAACAGCTTAGAGGAATAAAGTTCTATCAACATATGAATACAGTTTGGAAGGCTGGATACCTGAGTCCTGATACAGACCTTCTCTTTTTGTTGCTGAACCATTCCTGTTAGCGGCAGCTCTCCCTTGCAATGCTGTTTCCAGAAAGAGCTGTAACAAAGAGTGAGGTGAGAAACAACAAAAGAGATCTGTGAGCCAAGATCAAAACCATTTCTGTATGGAGTTTGCAGAGCTGGAATAGTAATTAAAAGAGCTCAAATGTCCGAGGGCTACGGAGCCGAACTGTGGATGTGAGGACCAGGAACAGCTTGAAACCAATCAATCTTGGAATCCAATCCTGATGCTATCCATGGGATATTTCTCATATCTGATACTCACCGACTCTGGCTCCAGTCCCTATCCAAAGCTTTACCCATCCCAGCAGAAGCCCTCCTAGACATTAGATCAGGCTCCTAAATCTGGCAGAACCACAGTGCGGGATAAGCAGGATGCCATGGCTGCTGAATTGCCTGATCCAATATCCGTTCCCGTTCACATACTCAAGCTTGAATCGACCCTTAAAGCACAATGAGGTACCCACAGGGTCAGCTTGTAAACATGGAGGAAGACAAAGCCCTTGACTCCAGGAATGTGTGACCCACAATGAATTTGATGGTTACAATAAAAGTATAGGGGACCATTAAAAGACACCACGGTGGGAAAGAGCATTGGCATTGAAAAAGGAATTTAACGGGGAACAGCAGAAGAGGGCTTTGTAGGATGGAGAAGGCTGCTTGAAGCACAGGGGCTGAGGAGACACATTTACAAGCAGAGGCACGTGCCCAGCACCACCCGTCCCTCCGGGTTCAGTATCCTGTCACTTGTCCCCTGTGTCCCCTCTGCTTTTGAACAGAGAAACCAGCAGAGAAGATGATGGCTTTCAAGGTTCTCTCTCTGCTCCTTGCTTCGCTGAGCTTTGTTTTGATGGAAGAGACTGTCTCAGGGTAAGTGTTTTGGAAAGCTCATGGTGTATTTGAGCCTTTTCCAGCTCCTCTCTGGAGGCAAATGGACTCTTTCCATTGGCATCCTGATAAGTAGGTGAGAACATGAGTCCTGAGGTAGATGTCAGATAATAGAGACAAGCAGAGATAAGCAAATGATAAGAGAGATATCAAAATAAAGGCCTGAGTCTTTGAGGCAGAGCCAGGAACTCCCAAGTTTTCCCTATAAATTTCATGGCTCTAGGTTAGGAGGAACAAGCTGAAAGTAAACCAGGAAGAGAAGAAGGTTGGCTGAGAACTAGAAACAAGAGGTAATCATCTCACATGAGTGAGGCTCGGGGCAGCCAGTATTTGGAAGCTTCTGAATATAGGACCAGTTGCATAAAGCAGGGATGTAACAGAGACTTTCCCTGACTCCTGCTATGGAATTTCCAACTACCACCCTGGGTGATCCTAAAGAATCCTTGTTAGAGCAGTAGGAGCTGCTGCAATCCCACATAGTAGTCCTATGTCGACACTTGCCAGGTCTGTGCTGGTCCCAAAGTCAGCTCTTGCCTCCTGCCATCCACACCTGAACCTCTTGAGGACACAGGAACAGGCTTCCTTGGTCCTCAGTGTGCAGGTTCCTGAAGGAAGGAGCCTGAGCCCACTTGGTGCCTTAGCACAGAGCCAGCTTCCCTGTGAATCGTGCAGCAGGGCAAACCACACTGCAGGCAACCAGCAAATACCTAGAGCGCATCTCCTCCCAGGCTGCCAAACCTGAGCGGCCACTGCAGGAGCAGCCAGCAACAGGGGGGAGGAGGATGCCAGCCCCTTCCCAGGGCAGGAATAGTCACTGTGCCAGGAGAGACGAACAGGGACCACCAACCCTTGCTGATGCAGGCACCGCGTGGCCCCCGCGTGTAGCCCGAGCAGAGCTCCCGTAGCGGGTACTCCCCATCGGTGCCTGACTCTGCCTCTGTGCTCTCACCCCAGGGTCAGTGTAGGGGCTCCCAGCACCAGACCACTGCAGAGACGCTATTCCGAGGCCACCCTGGCAAGCGACTACAGCCGCACGATGGATAACATGCTGAAGAAGAACTTTGTGGAGTGGTTGCTAGCCAGACGGGAGAAGAAAAGCGAGTAAGTGCAGACTTGCAATGCTCCTACGATCCAAACTCGGGGCTGCCGCCAGCCAACGGATGGCTCCAGAAGAATGCGGAGCCGAGGATGTATGTCGTAGGCTGCAGCAATGATTCTATAGGGAGCTGGGTTTCTTTTTGCTTTCATTTTTCCAAGCCCTGGAGATGGTTCTGGTCTGCGGGCACGCATCACAACCACCTCTCTCCCTGCCTGAGACCGCCGCTGGTAGAGGGAGTGGGAGGGAGCTGCGAGCCGTGGAAAAGCAGCATTTGGGCCCCCTCTTGTGGCATCTCCGGTTGATCTCCTCCCGCTTCCCCTTTCCAGCAGCATGATCGAGGCGTACAAGAGGGCAGCTGAGCCCCAGGGACCCGCTGCGAGTGGCCAAAGGTTGGACCTGGGCACGCAGGAAGCCAAAGATTTCTTCTCCTGGCTCCTGAAAGGCAACAAAAGCCCGAGGTGAGGCGGGAGGCTGGGAAGAGAATGCCTGTGCTGAGGGAGGGGTCCCAGGGGTGACTTCCGAAGGGATGTTCTGGGGCAGGGATCGATGGTAACGGTGTCGCACGGGCACACAAAGGGACTTTGGTGTCGAAAGGGAACGTCCCGGGTTTGTAACTCCTCCTCCCCAAAAAGCACAAAGACCAAAACCTCCCCATTTCTCCCAAATCACAGATTGAAAAGAGACCACGATCGGGGGCTTCTTGTGGCTCTTGTTTTGCAAATGTCAGCACAGCCTCACGGAACCCCAGCACTCTGATAAGGTCAAAGCCTTGCTTTTGGGTAGGGCTGAAGCGCACCCGCTCCTTGAACAGCACCAGAACAGAGGAGCCAGAACCAAGCTCTTTGGTGTAACCCAAACCAAGCTCTTTGGTGTAATCCAAACCAAGCTCTTTGGTGTAACCCAAACCAAGCTCTTTGGTATAACCCAAACCAAGCTCTTTGGTATAACCCAAACCAAGCTCTTTGGTATAACCCAAACCAAGCTCTTTGGTATAACCCAAACCAAGCTCTTCCCTAGGATGTTCTCCATGAAAATGAGATTTAAGTGATACATTTCTGCAGAACATTTTGATTTAGATCAATGAACCCAAGAGAGAGGGGGGGAACAACAAAGGCCAAGTTGGATGGGGCTTGGAGCGAGCTGCTCTAGTGGAAAGTGTCCCTGCCCATGGGTTGGAACCAGATGAGCTTTCAGGTCCCTTCTACCCAAACCAGCCTGGGCTCCTATGGAAACTCATTCACACACTCAGTATGTTGAGCAGTTTATCTCTTAGAAAGGAAACAAACCAGTTCTTCCCTTAGATCACCACTACAAGGTTACTGTCACGACAACAACGGCGATAGGAGCTTGCTCAGAATAGGTTCTCCTGCACAAGGGAACCCAGTCCATGCGCTGCTCTGCACTGCTGCAGCTCGTGCCTTCATCTCCTGAGCCATCTGGCTGAGAGCAGGCTCCTGCATCCCGGCTTTGTGCTGTGTCAGCACATCCACAGCCTGTCAAGAGCCGGCTTCACCTCCCCCAGCCTCAGCTCCTGGCACAAATGTTCAAACAGCAACGGAGCCCAAAGGCAAAGCTGCTCTGGGGCACTTGGTGTGCTGAAGGCAAGGCCGAAGGCAAGGCCCCCCCGAGGGAAGGAGGGACCCATTCCCTGCACGTGGAGGGGGCTCTGCAAAGCCTAACAGGTTGCTGGTGCTTACGCCTAAAATGGTGGCAAGAAGGGAAAAGCGAAGCCCGCATCCTTTGAGGCACAATCCGGGTGTCCTCTGGCAAAACCCATGGGATCTGTAACCCCAGGGAGTCACGGGACAGGCCCCCCTGGACCCGAATCCGGGGAGGATTGGTTGTCTTTAACAGCTTGTTGCATGGAAGAGGCTTTAGAGAGCAGGGTGCAGGGGATGACCAGGGGCAGGGAAACGCGCACAGATCTGGTTCACAGGGGTGGCTCAAGCCAGGCCCTCAGGAGATCAGACCCTGAGCATTGCTCCTCATCCTGCAAGCACGCAATCAAAGCAACGAGGGCTTTGAGGGGTCTCGGCAGGTCACCGAGCCTGACCCCTGCTCCAAAGCAGGATCCGCGCGCCCCAAACTGCTCCTGACAGATGTTTGTCCAACCTGGACTGGGAGGGGGAAGGCACCGCTTTGATGCTCGGGATTAATCAGCTTGATTAGCTTCATTAAACCCCAAACTGCTTCCTAGTGTCTCCCTTAATCTGCTTAATTGCAAATAAACCCCCCGACTTGGAGAGGAAAGTGCTGCTTGCAAACAAAGCCTTCCCTTTGTGAGGTTGGAGCAGAGACGCTGCTTCCCCCACGCTCTGCCTTTGTTTCGCTGCCTGCTGGCTCCAGGAGGAGGTGGGGTGCAGGGGGGGGGCACTGGGCTGCTCCTCCTCACCCCCCCCTTGGCAGCCCAAATGTGCCAAGAGCAAAGAGCTCACCAGGACAAAAGGAGGTTAAAGCCCTTTGAGGGTTTATCTGAGTCAAAGCCGTTGGGAGACAAGGAAAACACCCCTGTGAGAGGCCCTTAGGTGGTGTCTGAATCCCTGCCTCTCCGGCCTGGCTCATTTCTTGCAGTTCCCTGGACGCTTCAGAAGGTTTGAAGGATGCTCTGCACCAGGACTTCCTGACATGGCTGATGTCCACTGATCTCTGCAGGGCAACGTGAGTGCCTGCTCTCCCTATCCCTATTGTTACAAGCATCCCTACAGGCCCTATTCCAGCCCTTGTCCCCAAGGTGCCTGTTGCAGTGCTCAGTCAGTGGGTTTAGGGTTGCCTTAGGTGACCACTGGGTGCTCCCAAGAACAAACAGGGATGAACCGGCCACGAACACAGGGAACAAGAGGCAGCTCTCCTTTACCTTACTATTAGAGACTGATTTTGACACACACCTTGCTGTCCAAGCAGCTTCTCGAGGGAGCAGAGGCAGGCGGCTGCTGGAGAAAGCAGAACCTTGTGCCTTGTTCCCTATGGGAACCAAACGGGGTGAGTGCAATGCCATAGGAATTCACGGGGTTCCCTCTCCCTTCTGCTTTGCCAGGACCGTGTAACCGCAGGGCCCTCCCGAGGCGCGCTCTCCATCCCCTCACGGCACGGGAGGAGGAAGGACCCTTCCATTCGCTCTGTTCTGTTGCAGCTTGTCTGTTGTGCTCATGCCAGCAATAAAGAGTCTCCTTTGAAGCTGAAATGACGCTTGGGTGAGCCCTGCTTTGGGGATGGACACAAAACACCATTAAAAGGCTGCAGGAACGAGCATCCTTCCAAGCAAGGCTCCCAGCAGCCACAACGCACCTTGTGTGGTGGGGAGCAGGCCCATCCTGCCCATGGGATTCCAGGCTCCTGGCACTGGGCCATGGATCAAACACCGTACATGGGGGCTTCAGCCCCAGACACCGGGACCTGGCTCCCTCTGGGGGTGCCCCTCATGCAAGAAGGGGGGGGTTGGGTCTGAAACCCCCTCAGTGAGGGCCGTACCCCTGTGGGGCGGCCGCACCCCCCCAGTGAGGGCTGGGCCCCTCGGGGCACCCCTCACCAGAGGGATCCCCCCAAACAAGGCCGCTCCCCCCCCATAACCCCACTGCCCACACACCCCAGGGCCCCCCAACCCTAACCCCACCCCCGTCAGCCCGAGCCCCTCAGTGCCCCCCGGGGCAGCGATACCGGGGTGGGGTGGGGGGGGTCCCCGTTACACGATGGCAGCACCCATGGGTGCCCATAGGGTGGGGGGGTGTGCGGCGTTCGTCGGCACCGGCCGTCGCGGGGAGATGACGTCAGACGCAGCGCGACGGGCAGCGGGAGCGGGATGCACCGGCGGGGGGTGGGCGCGGGCGCCATCGCCAAGAAGAAGCTCGCGGAGGTGAGGGGCGGGGGGAGGAAGGGGCCGGGACCCCCCCGGACCGGGCTCTGGGGGAGGAAGGGGCCGGGATCCCCCCGGTCCGGGCTCGCGGGGAGCTCCGCGCTCCGCAGGTACTGCGGGAGCGGCCCCGCCGGCCCCGCACCGGGCGGTCCCTGCTCCGTACCCGCCCGAGCCCCTGTGTCCAGCCCGGCCCTGAGCGCTGCCTCCGGGTCTGGGGCCTTGAGCACCGGCTCCATCCTCCCGCTTTCCCCCTGCAGGCGAAGTACAAGGAGCGAGGGACGGTCCTGGCCGAGGACCAGCTGGCCCAGGTGGGGATCCCCCCTGCGCGGCACCCGGGGCATTACCCGTGAGCTGCACGGGCAGCGGTGGGGCTTGGGGGGGGGCTGCTTCTCCCCCTCCTGTGAGCCAAGCTCCCGGTTCAGCAGAGCCCTTTGCCTTGTCTCCGCTGGGCTCTGGTGCTGGTTTGTGTCCGGTGTTCAAAGCGTGCATGTGGAGAGCTCCAGTTCCATCCGGTGACTTTTGCCTTGGTTCCTTCCTCGGAGGCCGTCAGCACCGGGGAGGGAGCGCATCAGAGACCTGGTTCTTGAGGCCTCCCTTAGTGCCTGGTGGCGGCTGATGGAAGAACAGCGTTAAATGAGCGTGAAGCCAGAAACCCTTTGCTGCGGTTCCCTTTCAGATGTCGAAGCAGCTGGACATGTTCAGGACCAACCTGGAGGAGTTTGCCAGCAAACACAAGCAGGAGATCCGGAAAAACCCCGAGTTCCGGGTCCAGTTCCAGGATATGTGCGCAACCATCGGCGTGGATCCTTTGGCATGTGAGGAGCAGGCACGGGGGGGTTAATGTGATGTGCCTCGCTGGTCTTGTGCTGCAAAGAGCTCGCAGCAAAGCTGGGGGAAGGTGTTCTGATTCCTGGGGCTTGTGATTTGATGGGATGCACCTTTGGGTGCTGTTTACTTAAAGGGGTGGGGGCAAACACATGGGGATAACCAAAACAGAGGCTCTTGACTGGCAGGTCTGAGTCCTTACAGCAAGGCTTGTGAGCAGCCTGCTTCACACCGCTAAGGAAGGATGGTTTCCCCCTTTTCTTGCCTCACAGCTGGTAAAGGATTCTGGTCCGAGATGCTGGGAGTTGGAGACTTTTACTACGAGCTGGGCGTGCAGATCATTGAAGTTTGCTTGGCTCTGAAGCACAGGAACGGAGGTGAGGACCCCACTCTTGTCTGGTTTCGAGGAGATCCTGAGATGGCAATTTTGCCTTTGTTGGCCCCAGAAAGCTTTGTTACAGCTACAGCCATCAGCCAGCTTTATTGGTTCCTACATCAGTCAACCAGCTCTGCCCTGTTTAGGTACCAACCCATAACTCACAGGATTTGGGGTAAGAAGCAGGGGGCAATGACAGGCTTGAAGGAGTACAAAGCTGGTGAGTCACTGCTTTGAGCCTGGCATTAAGATTCTCTCTTAAGGATCACAGCAGAAGAGTTGGAATGTCAGGGATAAGTGCCTAATGAAAAGATAGCAGATGTTCTTCACTCCAGAAGGGCAGTTGGAGACCTGGAATGGGCTACAGCAATGGCAGCTGAAACTTGAGTCTGATACATCTGTGGGAGAAGGCAACAGCAACTGCTGCATGTTAGTTCTGGGAACAGAAGTGACTCAAGGCTTATCTCACCCAGCACTTGATGCTGGGAACAATGAACAGCCCCATGTAGAATGGAAAGCAGGGGTGAGCCAGTGGAAGCACACAAAGGACCCTTGACTGCTCTTGCTGGAGCGGTTTGATGCTGTGCACTAACGCTTTCCTGTCCCTTTCTGTTGTCTCCTAGGTCTGATAACACTGGAAGAACTTCATCAGCAAGTGCTGAAGGGAAGGGGGAAGTTTGCTCAGGATGTCAGCCAGTGAGTGTGTATTGCAGGGAGGGGGAATCGGGTGGCCTTCGGGATGAAAAGGGGGTGACTGATTCCAGCACCACTCAAAGGTGCTGCTGTTCATTGGAGTCTGAACGTGACTTCTAGCACTGGAGCCATTTCGAATTACTTAACCAGTGCAGAAAGCAGCAGCGTTTCATCAGAGAGCCCTAAGGCACAAAGGACTCTTGGCTTGAGCTGGGGACAATTGGTTCACTGCAAACCCAGCTCTTGCTGCCAGTCTGTAAGGAAGGGACTGACACCCATCATTACAGGAGCAGACAGGACACAGCTCACCTTGATCACCAGTTGAGGCTGAAGTTTAGCACTTGCAGCTCAGGTGCTACGAGTGAGTCTCTAATATGAGTCTGCCCTTCTGAAGGGAGGCACAGAGGCACAAACTTCCTTCTAAATGGCTTTAACGAAATTAGCTGAAACTGCAGCAAGTTCCAGGGAGCTCTTATTGCTCAGAGCTTCTGCACATCAAGTCTGCCTCATTTACAGAACATAGGGTGTATTTGAGAGAAACTCCTGCTTTAAAGCCTTGCACTGACCTCTGCTTCTCAGGGACGATCTCCTCCGTGCAATCAAGAAACTGAAGGTCTTGGGGAATGGCTTTGGGATTATCCCTGTTGGTGGAACGTATCTGGTCCAGTCGGTGCCAGCTGAACTGAACATGGATCACACGGTCGTCTTGCAGCTGGCAGAGGTACTGAGCCAGGAGGCTTTAAAATACAACCTCCTTGAAAGAACCTGATTCCTTCCATGCCAGGGAACTGTAGAACAGGGCTGTAGGCAAAAGAGCCCCCACTCTCCTGAACTACAGACTTGTCTTGACTATAAACACACGGTGTTTTCCCCTCTCGTTTCAGAAGAAGGGCTACGTAACAGTCAGTGAGATCAGGTCCAGCCTGAAGTGGGAGATGGAACGTGCAAAGCAAGTGCTGGTAGGTACGGGCTTGTGCATCACAGAGCTCTGTGTCAGGGTGGAGGGACTGCTCCCACAGCAGACACAGCCTGGGGCTGCATTACCAGGGAATGCACAGGGGGTCCGAAGCTGGGTGGTGGAGCCAACACAGACTACACCCAGCATAAGCATACACTGAGGAGAGCAGAGCCTCAGAAGCTGCAGAGATTCCTGTGGCTTCACTCCATTAAACCCTGGCTCATTAGCTCAGGTCAGGCAGGAATATGCAGTGGCCATGGCTGGATGTCTGAACTGCTTACTGGAGCCCAGATCCTACACCCTCCTTTACCCTAGAAGTAAAGCTGGGGTCAGGCCTCCATTGTGAATAGCTTTTCAGCCATTTGGTTGAGTTTCACTCCCAGTTTTTGCTCTCTCTGTATAGGAACACTTGCTGAAGGAAGGAATGGCCTGGCTGGACACGCAGGCAGCAGGAGAACCTCAGTACTGGCTGCCTGCTCTCTTTACAGAGCTGTACTCTCAGGAAATCACTCCAGAGGAAGCCAAGGAGGCAATACCTTGACTGCTCCATGCTCTGTGCCTGGCTATAGCTCTTCTTGTGAGGTTATCTGCATATCACCTGCAACACAGGGACAGTGGACTTGAAATAAAGGTGTCTGACTTGAAAGCTTAATAGGACGCATTCACACTTGCTTACCTCTGCATTTCCTCCTCATTGCGGTGGAAGTGCCACTTACCATCACAGACAACCGACTGCCACAGCAAGAGGAAGGCTATCTAAGCTGCTTCTGGCAACTGCAGGCTGGGAGAACACAAATGGGACCCTGGGTAAAGACTCTTGGGAGCCAGCAGTGATGCTGAGGAGCTGTTCTGTAGTCCTCTCTCTCAAGGAGCTGTTCCACTAAGGAATACCACAGGCTAGATTCTGCCAAAACAAACTTTATTGCACCAAAAAAAAAAAAGATCTTATGTACAATAGTATATAAACAGGTATCTTAGAGTGACTCTTGTGCATATATTTTCAACTCGATTAGGTCTAAAAATCTGTTGCTAAAACATCTCTGCCTAAAGCAGTCAGTTGAGGATTGTCACTTTGAAATGGAAACATTCAGAAATGGTAGGACAGACAACAGTAGAGCTATAAAACTAATACTTCTCTTTTACAGCCACATGCTAGTTATGTGAATAGTGTCCACGATAAGGCATTTTCTTGTCTCGTTGTATCGGTGGATGGTAACGCCACATGCATCACAAACAGATTTGAGGACCAGCTCTGCCTTGGGAAGGCAGCAGAGCCACAGCTCTACCCACAATGCTACTGAATGGTGAGAAACAACGTGGCATTTACAATGGGATTAGAGAGGCAGGGAAGTAGCACACGGCTCTCGGGAGACCCCGCTGCCTCCCTGGGACCTCATTTTGAGGTGCACACCGCTTTACGTGCCCTCATCTGGTGGATGGGTTGAGTGAGTCCTGTGGAAGTTCAGCCTTCCCTCAGCGGAAGACAGGGTTTCAGTCTCCATCAAGCCAATGACCCAGGGGAGTTTGCTTGCTAAAGGCAAAGAAAGGTTCCCAAGTTGTTCCTGAGGGATTCAGGAATGTTGCCACCTCTCAGCGGTGTGCAGGCTTCTGAGCTCTGCAAGGGTTATAGAAACCAGAGACTGAGAAGTCAGTGGCACATGGGGCATTGCCTCTCTGTAGAGAACACAACAGGGGTCTTTGGGACCCTCTTTCTGCGCTGCTTTTAGACCAAAGGTGACCACTGGAGGTTCTCCCACCACCATCAGGAGTCTGAAAGGGCCCAGCTGGTGGGAAGGTTTAAGGAGAGGGCCTGGCACAATGTGCAACTTTGTGCTTAGCTGTCTATCAAAGCTCCCATCAAAGGAATCATTAACAACCACATGAGAAGTAGATGGAGCTCCAATCCATGGTCACCAGGCTCCTTTACCTGGAGCCATGGGTATTTCACCTCCATGCAAGGAATACATCTCTGACATAATGGCACTTGCAGCCAGCAGACACCCTTCAAGAGGGTGGCCTTCACTCACAGTAAAAAGCTGCTGTTTAAAATGGTCCAATACACTGAAGGGCTCAACTTCACACACTCAGCTGGCTTGTGCTCGGCCAGGTTTGGCAAAGGGATCTGTAGGCCTCTGACAAAGCGGCTTCCTTGGCTGGAACTGCCCCTTATCCTAGCCTGGATCAAAGTAGCAGCAGGGCAGTGGTGGCAGGAGGAGGGGAGGAAAATAAACCATGACACTGACAGAGGTGGGAAGCAGTACTCCAGTAAAGGACACAGCATCTCTAGAGTGCTAAATGCAAATCACCACCTCCAAAAGCAATACACAAACTGAAATTCTTACGTGCTCCTCCCATCTCTGAGCAATGATTTCCTCACCCTCCCTTCCCAAAACACCAGGATGAACACACCTGCACTCCATAGATGGATTCTTGCAGTTTCCACTTTCCATCCGCCCCTCTGCACCTGAAGTCTCAGTGGCTGAAGTCACCCAGGGCTTGAGTAAAGCTTTCAGAAAGGAGCCCACATTCCACCACTGCTCTTTATCTTTGGTCTGTCTAGAACAGTGTCTAGGAGAAAGACATCAGGTGGCTGGGCTCCATAGAGCAGAGGGGCTCCCAACCTGCACAAACAAGGGCCTGGCATACCCTGGCCTCATCAAAGCACTCCCACAGCTCCCGCTCCACGGTCAGCACGGCCCCAGGGAAGGGCTCACTGTCTAGGAACAGAAAAGCTGCAAGAGGATTTGCAGTCTGGATCTCATTCTTTAATCAAATGGAGAGCAAAAAAACTAAGAAGAATTAAACAACCAGTGGAGGTGTTTCTGAGAAAGAACCTGATGCCACATGCTCTGGCTTCCTAGCATAGTAAGTACCTTTACAAGTAGCCTGTCACAAGCTTGGCTTTGTCTAGCGTGAAGTCTTCTCATTGAGCGTTCTCCACCAGAGCAGTAAAAGGAGACTGAAGATACCCCACAGTTTTCTCTGCTCTGGCCTTGGTTTGGTTGTCAAGTCTGGCAGGGGTACTCTCGAGTGTGAAGACAGAACATCCCCATGGCTTGGCCTCTCCACCGTTACCGCAGCCCTAAGCTTTAGGGCAGCCCTGAGTGTCCGTCTCTGTCTCGGAGGAGCTGCTCTCAGAGTCTATTTCTGTATTCTCCTGCTGGTGTTTCTCGTGCACCTTCTGCCGAATGCCTTGCAAACGCACCAGTAGGGACTGATAGTCAAAGTGGCCTCGTTTCTCACCAAAAGGGTCCTGGAAGCACAGCAGAGAGAAGCCCGTTAACATGGAGCAGCATCCTCCCTGCACGAGGCAGAGAGGAGAAATCCCCTTACCACCCCGGGAGCCGAGCACAACACCATCATCTTCCTAAACCCCAGAGGAAGCAACTGAGCCCCAGCTCCATGAAGAAGAACCAAGAATGGGCCACAGCTCACAACCCTCTAATGTCATCAAACGTCACTGTGTGGTGTTTAGATCAGTACCGCACGGAGCCGTACGGCAGGCACACACCTTCCTCATGGAAACTTCTCACTCCAGACATGAACTCTCCTGCTTTGGGAGCACTTTCCATTTCTGAATTACAGCCAGAGGTGGCACTGACAGGAAAAAAGGGCTCCGAGACACGAGAGCATTAAATCAGCCACCTCCAGCCTTTCTTGGAAGTGGATTTTCTCAATGAGTCAGGCAAGAGGTGGCGGATGAGGGAGGGAGACACGTCTGTTCACATGCAAATAGCTTGGCAATCTATAAAGTCTGCTTTCCTGCAGCAACAAGCTCCTGTATTCAACCTGTCTACATGTGTCTGCTGTGTTGTCACTGTTCATCCACCTCTTTCCTCCTCTAGTAGCTTTAACTCAGTCAGCCACTTGCAATGGTACCTGACAGAACAAGAAGCATCAGAGAAATGTTCCCATCTGTTGCATGGGCAAAGAAACCTCAGGAGATGAGAAACTACCAGTTACCAAGAGGAAAGTACTGCAGTGTTGTTCAGGAGCCACCAGCACTGGATAACCTACATGTGCCCTCCCTGCTTAACATCAAATGCACATGAAAGCAAACTGCACATCCCGATTCCACTGCTGAAAGAAGAACCTGCCTGCCTGGAGAGGCTCCAAGGTCCAGCACTCAGCCTTGGAAACACTGCACGTGTGCTCTGAGCCTGGGGATGCCCACAGGAACACCTCGGGTCTCAGGTTCATGGTTGGTTCAAAGTTGGAACAGGCATTTCACAGAAAAGACCCAGGTACTCCACATTGTTCTCTGTCTCTAAGTACACAGCCTTACCTAAAGCAGCGTGTTATCAACAAGGAAATAATCTGCCACTCACCTGCATTGTCTGTCCTTGGAGATAAAGCCTCTCTTTACACACCCCTTCATAGAAGTCGTAGTATTCCATGAAGGATTTCTCCATCACACCCCTGAATGCAAGGAGAGAGCAACCAATCACCACAAAATGACAGGGTTCCACCAGTCACATCATCCAGGGCCACCCCACCCCACTGAACTCTGGTTTATGCAGTCAGCATGGACACCCAGACAGGGTGTCCCAGCCACCCACCAGGGTCCAGCGGGGCAGGACACAGGGTGAAATGAACCACAGCATCGCTGCAGCTGAAGAGATGCTGCACGTGCTGCCCCAGCAGCTGTGCTCCCCTCCCTCTGAACGGGTTTTCCCCCCTCCATAAAACAAGGCACATTCATTCCCCAACACAAGTGGGAGGCTGCAGCCATTGTACCCAGTGACACGGCCTTTGTCAGTGCTCAGCCCCTGGGTACCACAGATGCAGCCATGACTCTTGGCTGGACCAGGCAGCGTTCAAGACTTGCTCTTCCCAGAAGCAACTTGCAGGACCCCAGGAATCCCAGGGAAGTTTATCCTGCTTCCCACACCCTGTCCCAGGCTCCCTCCATGCCTCTCTTCCGTACCGTAGCGGCTCAGGACAGGGACACTTTCCCTCCAGCATGTCACACACTGCTACTCGGATGGTCTCGTGCCGAATGCACTCGTTGTAGTTCTTGCTGTCCCCGGGGTGCCTCTCCTGGAAACAGAATTTGGGCCGGTGAGTCCACACAACAGCAATGGCTCCTTCATCCCCCCCTGATGGATCTCCCCACTGCATGAACCCACAATGGTTTCTATGCTGTGTACACTCATTTCCACTGCAAGTGAAAAGCTGGCAAGATTTTATCCATCTCCAGGGGTCAACGGACGGAGGCAGCCCAGAAACCTGCCTGTTTCCAAGATGCTGGTGAGCACGGAAAGCTGAGCAGTGCGGTGCCTGCATGACAGCCCAGGGAAGCCATTTCAGGAGTCATGTAGCAGGGGAAGGAAGAGCCCTCCCATCTCCCCGGCAACTTCTCGGCTGCCTCATGTTCTTCAGTTACCTTACACAGAGAGCCAAGCAGCCTCTGGTTCAGAGCTGCCTTCCAACTCCCCCTCAAGCTCTGACTGGAGGCAGAGCAAGCTGGAGAAGAGCCAAGCAACATAACCTATTTTTGTGCCCATTCCCAGACTGGAATCTGCCACCACCAACCCCCCCCCCCCCCCAGCAAGGTGTAGGGGGAAGAGCCCAAGAGCTGCAAACCCAAGGCTGAGATACCTCCCACTCTCACCTGCTCAAAGCCGGGCTCGTTGTGATAAGGGTTCTCAGTCATCAGAGACTGGATGGAGATGAGGACTGAGGAGATGCACTGCGCTGGGCTCCAGGCAGGCCCGGTCCAAGTGCTGGGCATCAAAACACAAAAGCAGCATTAAGGAGGCAGGCCTGGCTCCATAAGCACCATCCCTCCAACCACCACAGAGCAGAAAGCTTGGGAAACCAGGGCTGGCCCTCACAGGAGTGCGACAGGAAGAGAAAGAGCTGCTATAGGTACAGAAAGCACCGGGCATGGATGAGGTTTTCAGGGTCCAAGTGATTTATTCTCTCAACTAAAGGAGTACTTTAGCCTGAGTGAGACAGGAGGGGCTGGGGAACCCCACTCCCCTGCATCACACATGAGGAAAAGCAGTATTTGCAGGCATTCCACAGGGAACGTGTGGCTATCATCTGACCCAGCAGCCCGGAGCAAGGCTCCCATGAGCCAAACCCACCAACTTCCCAGCACTGAAGTCTCATTTTCAGACTCAAAGAAGACACCCACTTGTGGAGTCTGTAACAAACAGCACAAGGACACCCATCAAAAGCACTCATGGATGCTCTGCTACAGGAATAAGGTGCCTGCTTGGCACAGAACAGCATAAGCAGAAGAAGCTGCTCTGCTGCTTGCCCTTAATATCCTAGCTCCAGATACAGACCTGTCTCCCTGTGAGCTGAACAAGGATGTGCTGACCCACATAGGATCCTCCTAAATCCTTTCACTCGCAGTTTCCTCTGTGCTTCCCATTCCTAAGGCTGAGGCTCTTTGTTCACTCTTCAATAACTCAGCTTCCATGCTGGGGGGGGTTACAACTGCATGAGCAAGAAGGCAGCTTGTGTGGGAGCATCCAGACCCCAAGATACACGTGTGCCCTACGCATCTCAGTGCCCTGCAGGCACTGGCATCCAGCTCGTTGGATCAGGAACTCCTCCACTGAGGAAGATGTTTCCCGGCACCATGCAGCTCTCAACCAGCAGCTATCACCGATGGTATCAGCTACTGAGGCTCTGGTGTAAGTGGTACCTGCCCAGCCCTGCTGAAACCATCCCACCTTAGAGCAAGCGAAGCCATCCCTGCCCCTTCCTCACCTGCCTGCTGTTCCTACCTCTCTGCAGCACAAGGAACCAGGCACAGCCCAGCTGCCCCAGTCCAGAGGCTCAGCAAAAGCCTTCTCTCCTGGCTGGGGTTGGGAATCCCCCACCACAGCCAGGGATCCTCTGCCAGAGCTGCAAGAGCCGTTCGGTCCCTGCTTAGAACTCAAGCAGGTGAACAACCAGCCCTGGCAGCAGTGTTTGAACAGGCAGCATGGGAGCCCTGCTTGTAAATCCTTACACCCACTGCTCAGCCCCACATACTCCGTGTAGGTGGAAGCCCAGAGCAGTCAAATGGCTCTCAAGGAAGTTCTTGGCTTTTAGTTCTATTTATTTCTTTCTTTTAAACCCACACACAGAGGGAAGTTAAACCCACAAACCCCTTCCTTCAACCAGCGTTAAGGACCAGGCTGCAAAGCGCAAAAGCAGTGCCTGGTCCAAGGCTTTGCAAGGGGAAGCAGGAGGAAAGGAGCAGCATCCCCTGAGCTTTGCGCTTCCCCTGCTCCCTTCTCAGGTGCTTTTAAAGGCAAGTTAAAACTCAGAGGAGGGCTCGGTGCTGCTCCAGGGCTCTGACCCCGCACACAGCTCCACAGAAGCAGGAAGGTGCATCCAAGCACGCATCTGGGGCGAGATGAGGGCACGATGCGCTGAGAAGGATGCGCGAGGCAGAGCAGAGCCCGCAGCCACCTCCTGCCTTCCCATCGAAACAGCCAAAGGCTCCTCTTACCCTAGAATACTCAGGCAGACTTTCCCATTGCGGTAGAAGTTGGGGTTAAACCTCACTGTGTTATTTCCCGTTGTCATCAGTTTGACCCTTGGTGGGTGGATGGGATAATCTGGAGGACAGCGAAACAGGAACAAGAAGAAACCCCCTTCATAAGGCGTGTCAAATGGGCCTGTGATCAATGCATGAATCTGGAAAACAAAAGCCCGTCTTGCGCACCACTTCAACACTGTGCAGCACCCTCCAATCCTCCACAAAGGCAAGCGAAGGCAAGAGACCGAGACCGAGACCTCCACCCCGGCAGCAGCACGGAGGGAGGCAGCATCTTCCACAAGCACAGGCCCCGTGCAGGCCACGCTTCCCCCTTCCCCTCCTTCCCTCTGCTCCCCTTCTCCTCCCGCTGCCGCGCTTCCCTCCCCTCTGCAAAGCAGGTTTCCAATGGGGAGGCTTGGCCAGAGGCCACAGGAGCTGCTTCCAGACTGTCCAAACCAGCCTGAATCCAGCCCAGGTGCTTCAAGATTGCAAATATGCAGGAAAAGGAATTTCACTCGGTTTACAACAGAGGTAAAACCACACACACACACCACCCCCCCCCCAGAATTCCTGCCAAAACGACAGCATTCCTCAATGGTCTCATGCTCGTTTGGGCTTCTTGAAGCCAATCAGTGCATTTCCTCTGCCAGGATCCAAAATTAAGACCCTATTCTCTCCATGCTAATTACCCTCCGAGATCCCAATTGCACAGCAGGAACTCTCGCCTCCCTTCAGGCTATTAAGGAAGCTTCTTCCCCAAGTGATCCAAGCAGCCTCCTTCCGTGGTGCTCCCACCTCACCAGGGTTTCAGCTGGAAGCCCCAGGGCCGGTGTCCTACAAACCCACACCTCTGCTGAAGGCTGTTTTGGCACCTCCAGCTGCACACTGGGAGGGAAGGCAGCGTAAGGAGGAGCTGGCTCTGCACAGACGCTCCCTTGGTGCTGTCTCCAAACCCAAAGGGCCCCAGGTCAGGCAGGTGCTTCCATGGCAGGAATTTGGAGGAATCCTTTGTGTGCAGCAGAGGAAAAGCAAAGCCACCCCCCCCACATGCACACAACTGGCACAGCAAGAGCAGGCGACACTGCCTGGAGAAGGGGCAGCAGCAGCCAAGAGATACACGGGATCAGGAACACCGATGGAGCAACCTCTGCCCCCCCATTCGCTGCTGGAATAACCAGGAATTCACACTCCTGGAAACAGCCAAGAGCCAGGATGGGAGGAAGCAGGGCAGGAGAGGCCGCAGCCGTGCCTGTGTCCCTGGAGAGCAGCTCTGCAATGGGAGAGGCTGCACAGGGCAGAGCTGGTACCCGTGGGACGCCAGCAGGACAGGGCCCAGGGACACATCGCTGCCAGCTCACACAGTCCAACACCTCCACAGGCAGGTCAGGGATGCTCCAGCACTGCCTGGTGCTGGGGGATGTTTCTCATTCCCAGCTTCTCTGAGAAGCCCCCCATGGCCAAGAGCCTTCCACGGAGCTCCCTCTTCTCTGAGCTGCTCTATTGACTGTTTTCAAGCATCAGGAGGAGGAAACGAGCTGGAGCAGCACCCCACTGGTTCACAGGGCCACTAAAGCAGAGCTGGCTCTCTCTGTGGAAGCTCCTCAGGTCCCTAGGATGGGATCTCCCCACAGTCTCCTTGAGAGCCTCCTCCCATTTTAAATCCAGCCCATCTCAATGGCACCGGGAAGACCAGAGCCTCATCATGCTCCTGTGAGACTCACCCTGACTCCTCTCAACACATTAAGGGAATGCTCCATGCGGGCAGCCCCTTAGAGCAGGCATCAACAGCAACGTACAGAGAACGGCAAAGCTGCACCAGCTCCAAATCTTCTCTTACCTTGGTCATGTCCTGGGGATCAGGCACAACAAACATTCCCGGCGGCGGCTCCTTGTAAATGGACATGATATCCCTGCAGAAAGGAAACGGGAGTTAGGCAAGATCTCCCTTGGCCTTATCAGCCCTCAAGGCACTGAACGTTCTGGATGACAGGGATGCAAAGGGATGCGCTCTGAAGATGGAAACCTGCAGAGAGCAGGAACTGCTCTTCGGCCTCTGCCTGCTTTCTGGCTGAGCTTCCTCGAGTCGCCCCTCAAAACGAGTTGAGGAATGTCCCGAGCACAAGCAGCATTCCAATGGAGCCCGGTGGGAGGCACCAGACCGAGCAAGGGCTGCCTCCTGTGCAGCTCAGCACACGCCTCACCCGTAACCTCCCCTAAAGCAGTGCTCCGAGGGGAGGTTTGTTGGTTAAAGGAAGACCTTTCCCTCCCTTTACAGGATCCCTTTCCTACCCCCTGTCATTCGGTGTCCCCAAACATGCCACGGTTCAACAGCCTTTGAGATGCTCCTGCTCTGAGAAGCAGGGGCTCAATGTGACAGTGGGCTCAGTTGGGATGCACGTGCACACACACAGAGCTTCATCCCCACGGCCCTGTCCCTCGAGGAGCTCAGACCAAGTGAATGAAGAACAATAAATCCCCTACAGCTCTGCTCCGTTTGCAGTCACCCATCACCTCCATCGTGCTCCCATAGTCAGAGCTCCGCTGATCTCCAGAACAAGCTCCCACTTGACCCTCCCATATGGGAAGCAACCAGAGCTTGGAAAGGTTTCCAGGTGAGACCAAGAAGGGAGCATCCCCTTCCTACCACCATTACAGGGCATTTGCATTGGAAACCGCCCCACTGCCCGCTGCTGCCTTTGGAAAGCGTTATACAAGCTCCAGAACAAGGATGAGCAAGAGCCTGGAGGCAGGGATCCTTGCTCCAAAGGAAGAGGAAGGGCTCTTTGAACCAGCGCCAGCGTTTCAACAATCCCTGGCCGTGCTCAAGGCCGGGCTGAACACAGCCTTGGGTGACCCGGTTCAGTGGGAGCTGCCCCTGCCCACGGCAGGGGATGGAACTGGGTGTTCTTCACGTCCTTTCCAGCCCCAACTATTCTATGGTTCTGTGCTGCTCGTTCTAGCAGCGGCTCTCGCTGCACCAGCTTGAGCACCCAAGCAAAGAGGCAGCGCAGCCGAACGGGTGGGCAGGGCCCGGCAGGCAGGAGCCCTGCTGAGGGCAGGTTTTGCACGAACACCGCGTGTTGACACGGGCTGGGGAGCTCCCCCCCATCAGCGCCTCCGAGCTGAGCCCGGAGGCAGGGCTGGAGCCGTGCACTGAGCTCTGCCGCCCAGCGCCCCTCAGCAGCGGGCAGGGGAGGAGCAGGAGCCCCCGGGATGCGGGCTCCGGGCAGGGCGAGGTGGGAGGCTCCATCCTCCCCCAGCCACCGGGGCAAGGCGCATCCTGGGGCTCGATGGACCGGGGGCTGCCCCACGAGAGCCGCGGGATAACGGCCGAGACCGGGGCCTGGCCCCGGCTCCCCAAGGCCGCCGGTGCGGGGCCGCTGAGGCCCAGTGGGCAGTCACCGCCGGAGGGTTCCGGGGATGAGCCCAACCGTCCCCCCCCACCCCCGACACACCGGGGGTCGCGGCCCTCCCCGGCAGTACCAGGAGCCCCGGGGCCCGGCTCTCACCGCTTGATCCGCAGCAGGCAGGCCGCGCTGGGCCGCTCGCTATCCCAGTCGCCGCTCACCGTAGGGTCCCAGAAGGCGGAGTGCGTGAGGAGCGCGGCCCCCGCGGCCGCCGCCGCCGCCGCGATGGGGGCCCCGCCGCTGCCCGGGGCGGCGACAGCGCCCGTTGTGGCAGCGCCGAACCCCGCCGCCGCCCACAGCTCGGCGGGGATGAAGACACCGGGGCCGCCCGCGCCGCCGGCCGAGGCCCCGCCGCTGCCCGCCGCCGCCGGCAGCACTGCGGCCGGGGCCGGGACCGAGGCCGGGACCGGGGCCGGGACCGGGGCGGCCTCCTCGGCCGCCGGACTCTCCGCCATTCCGCGCCCGGCCTCGGCGAACGCCGCTTCCGGGACTCCGCACCACCGAGTCCGCCGGCCAGAGCGGCGCCCGCCGCGCGCCTCCACCACAGACCGCCGGCCAGAGCGGCACCACCCCCTTTACACCCCGCCCCTCGCCATCATAGAGCCGCCCTCCCGTGCCAGAGCGCCTCCACCACAGAGGGTAGAGCTTTCCGCAAGGAATAGCGCGCCCTCTGCTGCGGCGGGGGTCTCCCGGGCGGGAGGCAGCGGAAACACGAGTTTGGGGCTTTTTGGGATGGAAAACGGCACTTTGGGGAGTGGCTGTGTGGGGCCCGGTACAGCACGGGTTAACCCGCAGGGATGCAGCGATTCGGCACGGGCACGGCCACAGCTACAGGCAGCACCCGGGCACCGACAGAGGGGTCTCTATTTCAACCCTTACGTTGTCCTCGAGTCCCTTCTGCTCTCCCCAGGAGGGCTCAAGGAGACTTCAGGTCAGGTCCCTTCCCTGCTCTGCCCCCATTGAGCATCCCCATGGAGGTCACGGCTCCAGCAGCTTGGAGCACGCAGTGCACCCGCAGTGACCAAGGCTCGGACCCAGGCTCCCCCAGCCCTCAGCACAAAGCCCGGGGGGGTGCTCAGGTTCCCCCTGCCCTATGCTGCAGGGGAGCCACCCAGCAGGAGCCTGGCTGTAAAGCAGTGCTTTGAGGAGGGCCATGACCTTGAAGCCAGCTCTGGTGGGTGCCAGGAGGGGATGTCACAGCACAGCCCAGCCTGCTCCCTGATAACACAGCCCGGGAACACCAGCACTGCTCCCAAGCACCCATCACCTCTCTGTGTTCCATCTTTCATGACATAGAACCCCCCCTTTGTCAGCTCTCTATTGGCTCTGCAAGGGCAACGCTCACTGGGGTTTTGGGATACTGGGTTAGTGGAAGGTGTCCCTGCAGAGGGGTTGGAATTGGATGAGCATTAGCTTCCCTCCCAACCCAAACCAGGCTGTGGTTCTAGGATGTGCGAATGGCTCTGAGCTGCACAAGGACATCTTCTCTCAGCCAGCTTACTCCGCATCAGTGTTCCTCGCCTCCCACCATCATTCCACATTCCCTTCCTGCTTTACCAGTGAGCATCCCCACAGCTGGGATATTGCCCTCTCCAAGCAATTCCTCAGCTCAGCCAAGGACTTCCCCACAGCTGGAGAGGAACGTAAGGAAAAATCAAACACAGGGACCAGTTTATTTAGAGAAATCTTTTCTTTACTTGTCAGTCTGGAGCGCTGGGATGGAAGCAGGCTCGAACCGCAGAGTGATGGAAGCCACAGCCAGGACCACGAGTTGTCACATAGCGAAGAGGATCAGGAATGCCACCATCAAACAGAAGAGCCCCATGGCCTCGGACAGGGCAAAGCCCAGGATGGCGTAGGAGAAAAGCTGCTGCTTGAGGGATGGGTTCCTGAGCATCAATACCAGGGGGAACAAAGCAGAGAGAGAAGGGAAACAAAAAGGGATCCACAATGAGGAAAACGAGCCCAAACCAGAGCCACAGAACACTGGGATTGTGTCACATAAGCAACAGATTTTGGGGCGCAAACCAGCTCATGGCAGACTGCCTGGAACAAGGAAGCCCTAGCTTCAGTGGTACAGGCACACTGAAGGCCAAAGGCCAGGGCCACCCCACCCTGGTGGTACCATGCAACAGCTCCTGCTAACAACGAGTGCTGCACTTCCCCTGGAAGCAGGCAGAGCTCCACAGAGCAGCTGCACCACTTATAAGGAATTATAGGGTAGATTCATACAATTCAGGTGCCTTCTTTCTCTATTTTAATAGCATAATGGATTGTCATGACCATTTTCTACTCCAAGAAGTGCTTCAGTTAACCTGCTTCCACACATGTAGAGCTGGATACATATTCCAGAGAAAGCTGGAACAGCTCTGGATGTAGTGCTGGCAGAAGGGCGTCACTTCAAGCCAGCCTGCTTCTCCTTCTCACCTGGCATAGCCGATGATCAAGCTGCCAAACACGGTCCCAATCCCTGCTCCTGAGCCAGCCACCCCGACCGTGGCAGCCCCGGCGCCGATGAACTTGGCGGCAGTGTCGATATCCCGGGAAGCGGCGCTGGTCTGGAAGTCACGGCGGGCGAGCGGCAGGGGGGACAGGCCGGGTGGCTGCGGGAGGCAGAACACACACACACCCCAATGACACCTCTCATCACATGGAAAGGGTCACTCCTGAAGGCAAAGCAAGAGCAGCCACGCTTGCAAAGCCATCCCCAGCCCAAGCTAGGAGCTACATCCCCTTATTGGCCACCCTCTGGATACACAGACAGTCCTCCACTGCAGGAGGAGCCATGGAGTACCACGGGCAGTGAGCACAGGAGTCCAGGACATGATTTATGCACTGAGAGCCTCACCTGTAGAGTCTGAAGCTCAGGCCTGCTGAAAACAGACACGGAAACTGGTCTGGCCAGAGCCCTGGAACAGCACCGGAACTGCAGCGAAACACAGACAATGAGCTCCCATCACTGCATGTGTCCACACCACCCCTCAGGAAAGAGCAGTTCTTTCATGAAGAGCAGTCTTAGATGGTCTCAAACCACCCCACAGGACTAAAAAGCAAAGGGAAATGCAAACATAGAGCATTCCTCTTAGCCCGCTGGAAGTCCATGAGCCAGAACTACCCCAGACACGCTGCAGCAGGGCAAGTGTCAGCCCTGCAGCTGCACCCATCGACTTCCCAGCTCACACCTCAGAAGGAAGAGGTGCCTGAGCACCTCTGCTCCTTCTCCCTGGGAAGCCCCTGGGCCTGCAGCTCATTGTGTGTCCACCAGCACGGCCGGCATCGCCCTCCGGTCACCAGAGGTCACCTTGTTTCACCCACGGGTCCCCCCTCGGCTGCGGGCAGCCAGGGCAGTGCGTTCCATGGGGCAGCGCACAGGAACCCCCACACCCGGGCCTCACCCTCTAAGTGCAAGACCCGCCTGCAGAGAGGCCGCTTACCACCGCCGGGGAGCCGAGGAGAGCCAGAGGAGCCTGCATTTTGCTTAACCTAATACAAGTAAAGAAGAACGGGAACTAAGAGGAACCGGCAACGCTGCTCCCGGCCACCCCCCCACTCCCTCCCTTCCCGGGGCGGCCACAGCACATCCGCTGAGCGCCCGAGGCTGGCCCCTACGGCCACCCCGCCCGCTGACCCCCGCCTGGGCCCTCGCAGGGCAGACCCGGCGCTTCACGGCTCCGCTGCCCCCGACACAGCCGGAACCCCCCCCACCCCCCCAACTGCGGCTGAAGCCGCCCGAGCCCCGGGGGCGGCGCAGACCCCGCCGCTCTCCGCCCCACACCGAAGGGCGCGGCGCAACCGGTGCTGGCCCAGCGGGTGCGGGGAACCCCGGCCCGGAGCGGGCCCGACCTGCACGGCTGCGCCCGGGGCTGCGGCAGCGGCTGCTCACCTTGCCGTGTCCCTCCCGCGTCCTCCGCGCTCATTGGCTGCCGGCGCGCACGGCGCGCAGCATGCTGGGACAACATCCGCGCTTCTCATTGGCTGTAAACGCGAAAGCACCGCCCACTATGCATCCGGGACAGAGGGATAGGGCCGGAGGGCAGTGTCGCTATGCGGGCTGCTATTGGCTGGTTATTTTCACTGTGTGCGTGCTGATTGGCTGGAGGCCCGGAGGTGGTCTAAAGGACCGTGAGCTGTGGCGGGTACCCCAGAGCCGGCTCCGGCTCCTTACCGGTACCTTCAAGCGGCAGGGACCGGCGCGGTGTCGCGGCCCGGGTGGGTCTGTCCCGCTTCGAGCCCCGGGTCCCGGCAGCGCGGGCGGGGCGGGGGGCGCTCCGCCTTCCCCCTGTGTTCCCCCAGGTACCGGTCTCCAGCCGCGCCTCCCGGTGAGTGAGGTCGGGGACGGGCCCTCGAACGCCTCTCTCGGACGCTGCCGCCCCACCGGGGCCGTGCGGAGGGACGGGGTGGGGTCGCTTTCACTTTCGTTTCTCGGCCGAAGGGAACGGGAGCGGCCCGGGGATGGGGACGCTGCCGGTGTCCAACCGCGGCTTGAGGCTGGTCTCGTTTCCCTTCAGGTGTTTGCACCGTGCCAACGGCTGTGACTGTTCTCGGCAGCAGAATCCACCGGGTTGCTGCATCCAGCCTCTTAGTGTTCTTTGCAGGTGATCTTTAACCCTTGGGGCACCCTGGGTCCTGTCCCACGGCGATGCTATAACACGATTAAAGTGCTGTCCTTACCTCTGTTTGCTTCTCCATCTCGTGGCTCTCAAGAGCAACCTGGTATTTGGGAGCACGGGGCACGGCAGGGTAGGGAGATAGGCACCAACCAGGTAAAGACAGAGGCATAGGTGAGCTGCACACTGGTTCCTGTCCATTACGGAGACCTAGAAGTGGTGCTGCAGCCCGGGATGGCCTGGAGGGTTGTGCCACATCCATTGCCATGCTCTGCCCTACCCCCTGAGGGTACTCAGCGGGGCTGGTGCATGGAGGCCCATGGAGGAGAGGGGCTGCTGTGCCATGCTGGCAGCCTCAGCGCTAGGCACGGTGGCTGGGAAGTGATGGAGCCTTACATGTGCCTGCTAAAATGGTTTCTGCGAGCTGCTGTGGGTGTCAGGAGCAGCCTGGCCACGGTCGCAGGGACACCATCATGTGGGTATAGGGCAATCTAGACCTCATTCCCAAGCCAAACCTCTTCGTACCTGTCATGGACACAATTATGTCTGTAGCATCCAAAGATGAGATAATCCCTTTCTCCTTTCCTCTTGTAGGCATCCACGATGGAGATCTCTGAGGAGCCTCCCACTTCTGCTGTGTTTATAGACAACTGCCACTTCTCCCAGGTCATCTTTATCAACATGGAGAAGTTTTATGTTCCTGGAGGAGACATCACCTGTTATTACACCCTCACGGAGAACATCATTCCTCGTGGGAAGGACTGGGTGGGCATCTTCCGGGTAAGTGAATCCTGTGAAACCAGATGTGCCAAGGATAGGAAAGCAGCAGGAGGCAGAAACAAACAGCTCAGGCTTTGATGGAACAGGGTTGGGGGATTTTTTCTCACTAATAACCTTGTGTAATGGAACATCTGTGTTGTGCCTAGGGACAAAGGGCCAGACCTGCTGTAACC